AGAGTTTATCAAGCTGCTACGCTGCGCTTGCAGGGTCGTTCCCATTTACGAGAGACACGATGCTGGAGCATTCTGTGCGTTTTGCTCAACACTTCACTGCTTTGGCGACGGCGCATGATAACATATTTCGCATTAAACCCAAGCTGCATTTATTTTTGGAATTATGTTCTTCTGGAGGACAACCGTCCAAGCACTGGAACTACCGAGATGAAGACTTTGGAGGGTCCGTTGCGGCGTTTGGGAAGCGCAGAGGGGGTGCTCCGAACACGTCTGAGTTTTCAAGGGCACGCATGACGAAGTTTATGGGGCGGCCGGTTGTTCGTCTCTTGCGCTGAGTATGAAAAAAAAGGCCCACAGAAGGCAACGCCCCTCATCTAGGGGGATTTTCTTGGGTGCGAATTTTGACAGAAAATCTTAACGGAGGAGATTTTAAGATAATCCTAATATATTGGTGTTTGCAATATATTGGTGTATTGGATGCTCAAGGTTCAGAAGAAAAATGTGTATCGGAATGGCGTTTTTTCGGCGCCGCCTCGGGGCTCGATTTTAGGCGACAACCTAACTCCGGGGAAGGCTTCCCGGGCGCCGGCTCGGGCGCCGGCCTGGGCGTCGGAATCGGCCCGGGCGGGCCTCCCGGGCGCCGGAGGTAGAAATTCAGCATTTTCAAAAGAAAAATGTGTATTAGAATAACCTTTTTTCAACGCCGCCGCCGGCCGGAACCAGCTCCGGACCCGGCCCGAGCGCCGGCCCGGGCGCCGGCCCGGGCGCGCAGCCCGGGCGCTGGCGGAAAAATGATGCCAGCGCTGCAGCGGGAGCACGATTCGGAACGAGCGGGGCCCGAAAATGAGGCCAGCGCTTCAGCGAGAGCAGCATTTTGGAACAAACGCAAACGAAAACCCACATCTGGGGAAACCTGCGTGTAAAAAACAATACGCGGGGGGGGGGGGGCGAATATTCCCAAGACGTCATCAGGGGAAGAGGGAGAGTAGTACTCATATTGATTAAGTGTGGAAGAGTCAAGGCCCCGCCGTCGCCCGCAAGCCGCGTCGCTCATCCCCACCTGCCTTCCCAACGCACGATTAACATTCGAGGGGTCTCAGCATATTGTGAGTTCTAGGTGCACCAGGCACGCGCGAGGCCCAATGTCAATATAGCAAGGCGCTTCAGGTGCGGCACGTGCTGCACGTTGAAGCAATATGGCGGCGCCCCCGACCCCCGCAGTCCCTGACAAACGCCACTGCAAAGCGGCCGAGGAACGCGCGAGCTCGTTCCAGATGTTGAGGCACCGTGTAGTTTATACTGTTATGTCGACAAGGATGGTTGGCCTGCGCGCGGCGAGTAATATGACGGCAACCCACGCCCCCTTTGCCAAAACATTCAAAATCCAATGCGAAGTGGTCCCGGGGCGCCCGCGCGAGCTCCAGATGCAAAGGCAACGAAACATTCCATGTAGAAACCAGTTGCCCTAGCCAGCCCAACCAGCCAGCCCAACCCAACCAACCAGCCACCCAAACAACTCAACCGGCTCAACCAGCCCAACCAGCCACCCCGCAACCCCAGCCAACCCGCCACCCCGCCAACCCGCCCACCCCCGCCGCCTGCCCTCCGTCACCGTCGAGACGGGGGGGGAGGACAGGCGTCCACAAAAATCACCCTCCCGGGGTCCGGCGGGACAGCGGGGGGAGGGAAAATCGCACCGTACTATGGGGGAGTCGCGCCCGAGGTGCCCAAGGACGATTTGGGGCCTCAAGTGCGACACTGTCGTCACGCCATTACTTTTCACCGCGCTCCCCTTCTCAACGGAAAGGCCCGCATCCGTGAAACTGTCGTCATTTTTCAGCCCCCGCGAGAGGTGTCTTAGAGGCCCCCAGAGGCTCCAGGAGGGCCCATGGCGGCCTCGGGAGTGCTTAGGAAATCACCGGAGGGCCCCAGGAGGACCCACTCTGCGCCGCGCTCCCCTTTCTCAACGGAAAAGGCCCCCATCCGTGAAACTGTCGCCATTTTTCAGCCCCCGCGAGAGGTGTCTTAGAGGCCCCCAGAGGCTCCAGGAGGGCCCATGGCGGCCTCGGGAGTGCCTAGGAAATCACCGGAGGGCCCCAGGAGGACCCACTCTGCACCGCGCCCCCCTTCTAAACGGAAAGGCCCCCATGCGTGAAATTGTCGTCGTTTCTCAGCCCCCGCGAGGGGGTTCTGAGAGGGCCCACGGAGGCTCCAGGAGGGCCCATGGCGGCCCCGGGAGAGGGCACGATATTTCAAGAGCCCCCCGGAGAACACATTTTGAATTATATTCAGGTGGTTCCAGAGGGCCCACGAGGCTCCAAGAGGCCCCAAGAGGCCCCGAAGAGCCCAAACAGGCCACAGGACCCCCAGCACGCTCTAGGAGAGCCAAGGCGACACCAAGAGGCTCCAGGACGGGCGTCATTCCCTCTCCTCCTCCTGCTCGTCGTCGTCATCCGCCTCCTCATCCGTCCTGCTTTTAATCCTTCCCCTCTTCCTCCTCCTTTTCCTCCTCTCTCTCCTCCTCCTCCTCCACCTCCTCTTCTTCCTCCTCCTCTTCCTTCTCGCCCTCCTACCTCATCCGTAGCCTCGATGGCTCCGATAGCGCCGTGCGCGAGATCCGCCTCCTCCCCATCCGTCCTCCTCCCTCCTCCCTCCTCCTTCCCTCCTCCCTCCTCCCTCCTCCCCTCTCCCGGGAACGTCACAGGAGGCCCTCCGAGGAGAATTTCACGACAACAAGGGCGCCGACACGATGAACAGACACCACGTTGGGGCTCTGGAAACGGAGTCGAAGACGAAACCTCGAATAACTTCGTCTTCGGTGTTCGGGGCATTTTTCTGACCACCTGCGAACCTTGTGGAAATTTCCGAGGGCCTCAGGGGTGGACGTCTGGCGCAAGAACACTAGTGGAGGAGGAAACATCACGACGCTCCACGGAGTAAGCTGCACCCAATTGGTTTCCACCCCCGCGAGGGGCGTTATAAGATATCATATATTGACAAGGATGGTTGGCCTTTGCGCAGCGAGTAGTATAACGGCACCCCCGCCGCCCCTGTCCAAACCATGCAAACAATGACTACAAGGCGGTCGAGGGGCGCCCGCGCGAGCTCCAGGTGCAAAAGCAACGTGCGTCCTGCATTGTCGTTGACAGGGATGAGTGGCCTGCGCGCATCGATCTACTTGACGGCGCCCCTGCCGCCCTTGCCAAACACAACAAAAACAACGAGGCAGAGCGCTCGCGGGGCGCCCGCGCATGCTCCAGATGCAAAGGCAACGCGCGCCATGCCCTTTTTTTGTTTTGCGGAGGCGGTGGTGGGGGGGGGGATGTCCTGGGGTTGCCCACAGTTGGGCGGGGGAAGGGGCGTCCATCAACATGGGGCAGCGATCGCCCCTACCCCCGATCAGGGGAATAATGGGTTTGGGCAAAAAGCACGAGGAGAGAGAGAGAGAGGGAAAGAGAAAAAATAATGAACTGAATAAGGAGAGGAAGAAAGAGAAACATATACAGACATACTATATAAACAACAACAAATTATGTAAACCACCCGCGCCCACACGGGTGGTGGGATTGCGCTCCAACCAACATGTGGCCAACACCGTTGTGCAATCAATGTTGGCTTTCACGCCGAGGCTTCGTGGGACGCTCCAGCGACCCGCTGCCTCCCTCATCCAGGTCCACGCCTAGGGGGCAGGGGCAGGGGGAAACCCTCCACGAAAGGGGAGACTGGGGGCTGGAAGAGGAAACTTTCTCAACCTCTCAGTAACGGTATGGTTGGACCTGGACACCCCCATCGAGGATGGACGCCTCCCTGTCGTATGTCCCTGGGCCGGGCCCCGAAATTTTGGTCCATTCGAGAACCCCCCAAAATCAGGGATTTGGGTCGCTGTGCCCCTCGCTATGTTACCATAGTTTGCACTAGACGCTCGGCTTTCGCCGGGGGTCAGCGAAGTCTTGCGCCTCAGGGCTAAGCTTCCAGGGCCCTCTGCTGCTGCGGTTTCGTTGTGGGGGGCGGGGGTGGGGCCTCCCGAGCACCTCCCGGGCCTCGCGCAAATGGCTGGCGTCTGCATTGCTTCCCGACGATAGTCGATGGCGGCACTTGCCCGTGCTGGGACTCGGGTGCTACTTATTTGTGGTGGGGGGGCGTCGGAGCATCGCGCCGCACAGCCGATGCATCGCCGAAGCTGTTCGATAACGCAGATTTTCTCCACGCCGACAGCGCCGATGCGCCGCCGAAGTCGCCGATGCATCGCCGATGCACCAGTGATGCGGCGCGCTCCTGCGGCTCCACGTGCGGCAGGTTCGCGTCTCGTGTCGTGCCGACGCGTCAGCGACCCAGTCGCCGGCGTCGGCGGTCGACGAGCACAGCCGGGGGCCCAGCATCGGACACTGTGGAACCAACGGGCGGCCCGAAAAACACCGATCGTGCAAGCCGCCCACATAGGAGTAATCCTTCGCTGGAGTGACCTTTGGTGCGGGCCCATCGGGGTCCCCCGATCGCTGAGCACGATGCGATAGCGGCTGATTGCGCGCTTGGATTTTGCCACCTTGCGCCCCCTTAGTCCGCGCAGGTCGCTCCTGCCTAGGGTCACTCTTGCGTGTTGCCGAGCAAGGTCGGGGCTCAAGAGACGGGGGTCAGTGCCAACGGTGATCAGCCAGAGCGCCGGACCTCGCAGGATCCTGCAAAGCCAGGGGTGCACTGGCCAGGGTACGGGCGCAGGATCCTGCAGGATTCTGCAGCGTCTTGCAGGATCCTGCAGAGCCTGACTGACCCGGGTCAGTGGAACCCCGACAAGGTTGGTTGGTCCACGCGGTGTCACAGGAGCGAACGCCAGGGTCGTCACGACACGAATTTGCCGCATTGGGACCCCTTGGTGCGTGCAGGGCTCGAGCGAAACGGTGTTGTGGCGATTTCGTGGACCGTGCTCGTTTTGCCTCCGCTTTGCAGCAGGAGCGTGGAAGGAAGGCAGACCGAAGGCAAACAGAAACAGGACGACAACGAACAGCACTGTCTGGTTCGAGCCCTGCGTATGAGGCATGTGCTCCCGCCGCCGGCCCGGCCCAAGCCCAGGCAGCCTGCCCGCGGCCGCCCGCCCCCGCCTCGGCCCCCGCGCGGCGGCCCCGCGGGCTGGCCCCGAGCGCTGCGGTATGAGCTCCAGGGCCCCCAGAGATCCGACGCTCCAGTAAGGGTTGGAGCGGGCGGCTTCTGGCCGCTTTCGGCCCCCAAGTGCTCACTCATCGCCGATATGGGCCCGATTGCCTCACCCCGCCCAGGACCGTGCAGTTTCGTTTTATCGGAGGCCTTGCGCCAATGTTTCAGCAACGTATGGTCCAGGGCTTGGCCCCCCCCCCCCCCAATGCTGATGCCATTGGCCCCCCCCCCCCGCGCGATGGTCCCCCCCGCCCCCCCCTGTGGGCGTGGCGTGGTGCTGCGCTGCGGTCCCGTGGGACTGTCAGAAAGCGACGCGGGGCGAAGGGCCGGTCTTGGGGAAGCTGAGGGCGCCAACTGTACACCATCACCGATCCTGGCCAGGCCAATCCTGGGCCCAGGATCGGTGTATATACCCTCTTGCCCCAGGCAGGACGGCGTATACACCGATCCTGGGCCCAGGGTGATCCTGGCCAGGATCGGTGTTGGTGTATAGTTGGTGCCCTCCTAGGAAGTGGTCCATGCCTCCAGGGCGCACGCATCGAGCAAATTGGAGCAGCCGGATGTCGGGGCCTTTCATGTCGGGCAGCGCCCGGGGGGGGGGTCGTCCAGGCCGCCACCCTCCGCGCTATCGGAAAGACGGCACTGGTTCGAGGCGTGACGCGGTGTCAGAAGCCAAGCGCCCGAGTCGTCACGACACAAGCCTGCCGTGCCCTCCAGCGGGCGGCACGAGATCGTTGGCCGCGAGCTGAGTTGGCCCAACTCGGGCCAGGCGAAAGGGGGGTATTGGGAAAGGGGGGGTTACGAAATTTGCTGCATGCAGCTGGTTTCGGCCTCATCGAGGGGCCCATTCCTCGATACATTGCCGCCTCCGGCGCCGGGAGGCGCCGGGAAAATCAGCTACGTGAGCTGATTGTCAAACCCCCCCTTTGTTATCCCCCCCTTTCGCCCGACCCGACCAACGAGTTACCCCAGTGCGCCGACGATCCCCGCAGTTGCCAGCCAGTCTAGGCCTCCCAGATGTGGTCCTAGCAGACGGGCTCGGAGCATCGCTCCGCACCGTTTTCTCCACGCCGACGTCGCCAACGCATCACTGACGTCGCCTGTCCATCACCGAACCTGACCAGGTTGGAGGTTCGAGGATGTTTTTGGAAGGGGCTATGTCTACTTGTTGATGATCTGGAGGGGCTGGGGGATCCTGAGAGGTCATCCTCCCTTAAGAAGGTGGTGAGCCCTGGTAGTGACCGCCCTTTGGCATTGCCCGACATATATGCCCAACAGCCGCAAGGGTCAGAAGTATGTGACGCTGGAAGACCTTGCATTGGAGCTCGGGTGCGTGATCAACCTCTCCGACACTGTAGAGAACTTGAAGGTCACGATCTCTTCGAAGAAGTTCTGCCCCGTCTCAAACGTGCGTTTCAGCATCCACGGCAGGGACATCCCCAGCGCCGCCGTATTGAAGGACAGCTTGGACATGAACACCAGGTTCATGCTCTCGTGGCGGGCGTGAGGCGCGTGGACTTGCCGCTTAGCGCCGATCCATGGCTCGCTGTTCATTGGCCCGCTGGGACGCTATGATCTTTGGCCACCGGCAGCCGACCCCCAGACCTCCGACGTTGTGATTGGTTGGTTTACGCCGCGCTGCCGACCCCTTGGAGTCTGCGAACCCAAAGGCCGGCAGGGCGGCCCCAAAGCACTTTGCACGACTCTCGACCCCGAAGGGCCCCTCGGGGGGTCCTCCTCGGCCCCTTTGACGAGTGCATCCTGGTCTCAGCTGGGGAGGGAGTGCACGGTCGGGGCTGGCTGGCTGGCTCGAAGGAGCAGCGGCAGCAACAACACTTGGGGGGAGGGGAGGGGAGGGAGGGGCCTTGAGCCTCCAAGGAACGTTGCATAGTGATCGTTTTCTTGTTCATTGTTTTGCCGATCGGCGGGGGCCCTCGCACCCCCCCTCCCCCCCTCCCACGGAGTAGATCTTGGCTGTTTGTGGCGCCTGTTTCAATCAGGTGGAGTCTCCCCCGCAGGGTATATTTCTTCAAACAGTCCGGCCTCGGCCCAGACGCCACCACCACCAGCGGGCCACCTCCAGTCACCGATTTCACGCGAGGGTGCCCCTTCGCAGAGTGACCTTTGCTGCGGGCTCATCGGGGTCTCCCCGATCGCTGAGCGCGATGCTATAGCGGCTGATTGCGCGTCTGAATTGTTCTACCTTGCGCGCCCTTTGTCCGCGCACCACAGGTCACTTTTGCCTAGGTGCCTAGGGCCACTCTTGCGTGTAGCCGAAGCCAGGAGGTCCACGATGCCTTCCAGTTCCGAGCAGTGGCAATGGTCTCGGGTAGGGTTTGGGGGGGTCTTGGGGGCCAGCTCTGTAGGGGGGCCCGCAGTGGCGTCAGGAGGGCCGTCTTAGGCGTTCGTCGCCGTGGCTCTTGGTTCGCACATTTTCGTGTCAACGTGCTCTTGTCGCGCGAAATCTCTGATAGAGGTTTTCGTTGCACCGCGGGCCCACCATGACCATCTAGATCTTCAAATTATGAGGGCGTCTCCCAGGGCTGCATGGCAAACGGCGGCCTAACACGTCAGGACACATGCCGACATCGATTTGCGTAAACGAGCTTAAAAGACATGCGAGAAACACGACGCACCTGATTATATGGTGCCCTAAAACGGGCCTGCGCTAATGCACTGGCACAAGATTGGGCGAGCCAGCGCCCGTCGAACGCAGCCGCGTTTGCAACCAGAGAAGGCAGCCTACAACAGGCCCGCGCTTCCGCGAAACAGTGTCGGACGCCAACGGTGCAAACCCCAAGCGCCAGAACTGACAAGACAGCCTGACGTCGATGTATATACGCAAGGCGGCCCAAGGCTGCCGCGCGCTCGGCGGCGCAGAGGCTGCCCTCGTTGAATTCCTCCACGCGCAACGGCCCGACGCCGACGCGCGCGCGGCGGCGCAGAGGCCGCCGCCCCTGCGTTTTCCGCGGGGGGCGGCTCGGCACCTCCGCGCGCGCGGCTGCGCAGGGGCCGCCCCCATTGGATTTCTGTCGCAAGCAGCCTATAGCGCCGCCGCGCGCGCGGCGGCGAGAAGGTCACCGCTGCAAAGGTTCTTCGCGCGCGACTGCCAAGCGCCGCCGCGCGCGCAGCGGCGCAACTGCCGCTTGCGACGCGCATCTCCGCGCGCGCCGGCCCAGCGTCTCCGCCCGCGCGGCGGCGCGAGGGCCGCTGGCTTTTTGTTTTCCGCGAGCGACTGGCCAGAGCCGCCGCGCGCGCGCGCGGTGGCGCGGAGACCCCCCCCCCCGCTGCATGTCGCAGCGCTCGGCGGCCCGGCGACGCCGCGCGCGCGGTGGCGCAGAAGCTGGTCTCGTCGCATTTGCCCCGTGCGCGACGGCCCAGCGCCGCCGCGCGCGGCGGCGCAAGGGCCGCCTCCATTGCGTTCCTCCTCGCTCGACGGCACGACGCCCCCTTCGCGCGGCGCCGCAGAAACCGCGCGCGGTGCACTTGTTCCGCGCGCGACGGACTGGCGCCGCCGCGCGAGCGGCGGCGCAGAGGCCGCCCCCGCTGCATGTCTCCACGCATGTCTGCCCAGCGCAGCCGCGCGCGCGGTTGCGTGGAGGCGTTGGCCGAGCGGCTGCCTCGGCGTCAGCCGAGCGGACGTCGTGGACTTTGACTCCCAGGGCTTCCTCTGTCTCGGCGACAGCCATGCGATTTGGGCGACGCGCACTGCGCCGCACTCCTATCTCGCGATGTGCGCGAGCGGATTTTACGAGGGATAATCGAAGGGTGCGTTGTTTCGGGGCCAGCCGACAATCGAAGGGTGCATTGCCTGAACTCCAACAACCAGAGGGTCCCAGGGCAATGGTCTCAGAGGCTCGGGATCGACCTAGGCGCAAGGTCCTGGGAGGCCCTGCGTCGACCGAGGCATCGATTGCCTGGGCGATTCTGGATCGTCCAAAGCCGAATGGGCCCAGGAAGCTCTGGGCCAGGCGAAGCTCATTGGTCTGGGAAGCTCTGAATATAACCGTTCGGGAACCCATCGCGAGCGCGGGCGGGCGCGCCCATGTGCCCGCGGCGTGCGCGGGCGGAGGCGCCCAGGCACCGGCGGCGCGCGCGGTCGTCCGCGCCCGAAATTACAGCCCAAATTGACCCCCCGAGTTGGCCGCGCGAAAAAAAACCGACCAAGTGGACCGGGCGAGTTGACCGGCCGAAGTGGTCGGCCGAGTCGATCGGCCGAGTTGATCGGCCGTGTTAATCGGCCGAATTGATCGGCCAAATTGATCGGCCGAGTTGGTTGGCCAAGTGGATCGGCCGAGTTGATGGGCCGATTTGATCGGCCGAGTAAATTGGCCGACTTGGTCGGCCGAGTTGGTCGGCCAAATTGATCGGCCGAGTTGGCCGCGCGCGCGCGCGTTGACGAGTTGATCGGCCCACTTGGTCGGCCACGTTAATTGGCCGACGCGCGCTATGATGAGGTGATCGGCTGGACTGGCCGCCCAGCTGCGCGCTGTCCGCCCCGCCGCGCGATGACCGACCGAGTTGGCCACCCAGGTTGACCGCCCAGCTGCGCGCTGACCGCCCCGCCGCGCGTTGACCGACCGAGTTGGCCGCCCAGGTTAACCGCCCTGCCCCGCGTTCACCGCTTAACCGCCGCGACTGCCCCGTCGGCCGCCCGAATTGACCGCCCGAATTGTCCGCCCAACCGCGCGCCTACCGACCTGGATTGGCCGCCCGCCCGCCATTGGACAGCCCCAGGCTGACCGCGCAACCGCCTCCCCCGCGCGGGGCCGCGAAGGCAAACGGCGGGCGGGGCTCGGCCATGACGCGCTGGGAGACGCCAGCGACCTCAGAGGCGCGCCCGACCAAAGGCCGCTCGCGCTGCGTTTTCCGCGCGCGAAGGTGCCGGGCCGTCGCGCGCGCGGGAAATCCAACGCGAGCGCCTCTCTAGCCGTCGCGCGCGTGGCGGCGCAGAACCCGCCTCGATCGCGCTCGCGCGCGCCAGGCGGTCTGGCGCCGCCGCGATGGTGGAGCGCGCGAATGCCAAGTGCTGTCTGGTTGGGTTTGTCCGTTCGTTTAGAGGGGCCCGTCCGCCCCGTCGCGCGCTTTCCCGCGCGCCGCCCCTGCTGGGCGACCGCGCTAACACCCCGGGGCTCTCCAGATCATCCAAGACGGCCCAGGGTGACCGCCGCGGCCGCCAATGCGGCCTTAGGTTCTTGCTTAAACGGCCCAAAATGGCTCCAAGACGAGCCCAAAATGGCACCATGGAGGCCCGAGACGGATACGAAATCGTTCAAAGAAGCCCCCAATGCGTCCCAGGACGGCTCAGGGGGGCTCCGACAGGACCCCCGAAAGACCTTAGGGGCGACGCTCGCTGATGCTGATGCGGCGCTTAAATGATTTGGGGATATTTTCGCCCCGGGCCCCCGCCAGTCCGAGACAGCCAAGGACGCCTCCGACGCTGCCCTAAGATGGTCCAACATGCCACAAAATGAACCGAGCAACCTCCACGATGGCCTCGACTAAACCTCGACGGCCCCTAGACGGCGCAGGATGGCCCCAGGGGAACCCCAAGACAGCTTGCGAAGACCGCTGAAGGGATCCACGACGGCCCAGGAGGGCCTCTCGACCCCCGACGGACCCAGACGCCCCCACGACGCCCCCACGAAGGCCGCAAGAGAGACCCGAGACGGCTCACATGGAGCCCAGAACAACTTGGGAAAGCCGCAAGGGGCCCGCAAGACGGCCCCACAGGAGCCCAAGACTGCCTTGATACGGCCCAATTGAGCTCGATGAAAGCTCTCCAAGGAATCGATTTGGGAGGGCGTCACATGTGACAGCATTTCTTTTTCTTCTTCCTGCACATCATCATCACCATCGTCGTCCTCGTCGCCATCATCATGACCGGCCTCGTCGTCATCATCGCCGTCATCATCGCTCGAACAGACGCCGCCCAAAGTGCTTGGCGGGCGCGGCGGGCTTGTGGCAGCTGGACGCAATGCGCAACGCGCTCGGCGACGCGCGCGCGCGGCGCTTTCTTCAGACTCGCCCGCGCCCCTGGGCTGCGCTACGCGAGTCCCCGCGCAAACAGCGCGTGACGTCGCAGCCTCGCTGCTAACATGTGCGCGCGTGCGTTTGCATGCTTCGCGCTGCGCGGTGCGAAGTCAAACTCGTGCAGACAATCGCGCGCCGGCGTGCTCCGTTATAAAGAGGCCGTCGGCGTCGCGCGCCTTCAAACGAACCACGCGTCGCGGGGCCCAAGGGGCACCGCGCTGTCGGCGAGCGATGGCGAACGCAGAATTCAGAAAATCAAGACCACCACCCCCGTCGCAAAAACGAAATCGGTTTTCGTTGTCTTGCCATGTAAGCCGAGGCCGCAGACCGACGGCGTCGCAAGACCGAGGCCGACTCCCAGTACCGGGGCCGAAGACCGACGTGCATCACAAGACGCAGCGGCAAAACCAAGGCTGAGTATCGACGCCCTGGGGCACAGGTCGAAGCCGGCAACCGCGCTTAACCCGTCGGACAACCCACCCTGAAGATTGACGTATATACAGTAATGTAAAGCAAGCGACTCTTTCAAGTGCATACCAAAAGCTAGGATTCTGGAGCCACGGCATAACATCATGAAGCAATTAAGACCCCCCCCCTCCCGCGAAACGATATCCCCCCCGCGCCTGGAATCGTTAACTTCGGCACCTGCGGCTAGGAGGAGGAGGAGGAAGCACATCGCCTGGGACATCCTCGCATTTCTTAATCGAATTTGCTAAATCGCTTGAGACATCCTCACATTTCTTAATAGACTTGGCCAAATCGCCTGAGACTTCCTCATACTTCTTAGCAGAATTTGCCAAATCGCTTGAGGCATCCTCACATTTCGTACGAGAATTGGCCAAATAGCTTGAGACATCCTCACAATTCTTACGAAACTTTGCAGAATCGCTTGAGAAATCTTTACATATCTTAGTACAAGTGCCCAAATCGCTTGAGACATCAACGCTTTTCTTAATAGGATTGGCCAAATCGCTTGAGACGTCGTCGCATTTCCAAATAGAACTTGCCAAAAGGCTTGGGGCATCCTTACATTTCATCGCATGAGACGTCCTCACATGTCTCAATAAAAATTGCGAGTTCGCTTGAGACATCTTCGCATTTCTTATTAGAATTGGCAAAAAATTGTTTGAGACATCCTCATATGTCTAAATAGAGTTGGCCAAATCGCTTAAGGCATCCTCACATTTCTTATTAGAATTGGCCACATCGCCTGAGACATCCTTACATGTCTTAGTAGAATAAATTAATTCGCCTGAAACATCCTCACATTTCTTAGCAGAATTTGCCACATCGCTTGAGACATCCTCACATTGTTTAATCCTTCTCCTCCTCCTTCCCCCCCAGCTCGCCTTTTTTTTCCACAGTCCTGGCAATATTACGGCAACGTTTTCAGTGCTCTGGAGAGTTCCTGCCTGTGCCTGCCGCCCTTGCAGAGCTCAAGCGTTCAGTTTTCAGATAGGATTGGCCAAATCGCGTGAGACGTCCTCACATTTCCAAATAGAATTTGCCAAATTGCCTGACACATCCTCGCAATTCTTATCAGCATGTGCCAAATCGCCTGACACATCTTCACATGTCTTACCAGAGTTGGCCAAATCGCCTGAGACATCCTTACACATCTTATTAGAATTGGCCACATCGCTTGAGACATCCTCGCAATTCTGATCAGCATTTGCCAAATCGCTTGAGACATCTTCATTTATGAACAGACTTGGCCAACTCGCTTGAGACATCCTTATTTTTCCCAGTAGAATTGGCAAACTTACACCCGACATTCTCATACTTCTGAATAGAATTTACCAAATCGCTTGAGACAGCCTCACACTTCTGAGCCCAATTACCAAAATTGCATGAGACATCCTCATAGTTTTAAATAGAATTGGCCAACTCGCCTGAGCCATCTTCACATTCCTTTTGTAGAATTGGCCAAATCGCCCGATACAGGCTTGCATTTCTTGATCGAATTAATAAACCAAATCGCTTGAGACATCCTCACATTTCTTAATAGAATTGGCCAAATCGCTTCAGACCTCCTCACACTTCTGAATGGAATTGGCCACATCGCCTGAGACATCCTCGCAGTTTTATACGCATTTGCCAAATCGCCTGAGACATCTTCGCCATTCGTAAGAAAATGAGCTTACTCGTCTACTCGTACTCTTATTCGTATTCCTATTCCTACTCCTATACTCCTACTCCTACTCCTACTCCTACTCCAACTCCTCCTCTCTCTTTTCCTACTCCTACTCCAACTCTTACTTCTACTAAGGGGGCCTCACGACTCCTGCGCGGCCCACGGGGCCTCGTAAAAATCCAAGATGGCCGAGAGGTTCCAGAATAATCCAAGACGGTCCAAGACGTATCGCAAGGGGTTATCATATCAGGGCCCTGGAGATGCCTTCAGCCAAGGGCCCCTCGCCTTCCCTCAGTGGCCAGGGCCTTTCAGGGCCCAGGGAGCTCTTATTCTCGGAGGCCTTCGGCCGATCCGCCTGACCTCCTCCCCCATCGGGGTCCAGGGCCTCTCAGGGCCCAGGGAGCTCTTATTTTCAGAGGCCTTCGGAGGCAGTCGTCCAGGTACTGGCAGGAGTCCAGGTATTCAGAAAGAAGCAGTGGCGCTTTATATTTTTTTGTAGAATTGGCCACGTCGCCTAAGACATCCTCGCATTTCTTAGTGGAATTGGCAAAGTCGCCTGAGACATCCTCGCAGTTCTTGTTAAAATTTGCCGAATCGCCTGAAACATCAGTTGTTCCTTGGGATTCTCAGCCATGTCATGGTTGTCAGGAGTAACCATTTACCATTGGTGTTTTCCGACGATTACGGCGACGACGAGCGCGACCTGGCTGTCGCGCGGTTATTTTTTTGGCCGGGTGCTAAGATAATGCCACGGTGCGGGGTGGGGGCGATACCCTCGGGTGGACCACCCCCTACGACGGCCGAAACAAAAACGCATTTTTCTAAAGGATTTCAATAGAAACCTATCGGAAAAAAAAAAAACAAGCGGGTCAGAACAAAGAGTAGAGAAGGAAGAGGAACAAATCGTTTGAAACATCTTCACACATCTTAGTAAAATGGCACAGATCGCCTGAGACATCCTCGCTTTTCTTTTTAGAATTAGCCAAATCGCTTGAGACATTCTCACATTGCTTAACAGAAATGTCCAAATCGCCTGAGCACCCTCACACTTCTTATTAGAATTTGCCAAATCGCTGGAGAGATCCTCACATGTCTTAATAGAATTGGCCAAATCTTGTGAGACATCCTCACATTTCTTCTTAGTCTTCGTTCGTATCTTCGTTCGTTTTAGTCGTATCCTCATTCGTAGTCTGCGAGGGTCGCTGCTTTGTTCGGAGTACCTCGATTACATGAGGATCATGAAGAAAACGATGTTTATTATCCGTATTCTTACAATCAGTCGTATTCTGCTTCTCATTAGTCGTATTATTCGTTATCTTCTGCTTCTTATTCTTCTTATCTTCGTTCGTATCTTCGTATCTTCGGCGACGACGAGCACGATCTGGCTGTCACACGGATATTTGTTGCGGGCCGGGTGCTAAGATAACGCCACGGTGCGGGGTGGGGGCGATACCCTCGGGTGGACCACCCCCTACGACAGCCGAAAAAAAATGCATTTCTCGAAGGGATTTTCAGTAGAATCCTCATCGGAAAAAAACAAGCGGGTCAGAACAAATAGTAGAGAAGGAGAAGAAATCGCTTGAAACATCTTCGCACATCTTAGTGAAATTGTGCAAATCGGCTGATACATCCTCACATATCTTCTTAGACTTAGCCAAATCGCTTGAGACACCCTCACATTGCTTAACATAATTGTCCAAATTGCCTGAGCATCCTCACAAAATCGCCTAGCATCACGGTAACAGTAGCATCACGCTAGCAGTAACAGTAGCATCACGCCATCCGGTTTCATCGTCATCACGGTATCAGTAACAGTTACGGTGTCAGCAGTACCTGTGACATTCGCCTTATTATTATTATTATTATTGTTCTCATTCGTATTTTCATGTGTATTATATTCCGATTGCAAGTCCAATTGGGATGCCATCCGAGGCGGGACGCAGGAATTATCTATTTTCCTTTCAAGTGCGCGGTGCTAATTATATCGTTCGGCGAAAACCCCCCAGAATAATTATTTAATTACGGGGCGGTGCTAATGATAACCCCGGGGGGATCCGTAATCGCTTCATGCGGTTAACCCGGACAAAGTTCAAAACAACAAATTGACCAAAAACCCTCACGCCAAAACGAGAGCGGATTTCCGTCTGAATCACCTTCTTTGCCCCTTCTGGGGCCATTCCTTCCGACCCATTTCTCTGACCCCCAGACAAACCCAAGGTAGGGTGACGCCCACGGGCTGGGGGGGAGGGACGCCAGGATGGCCCCCCCCGCCCGGCGGCTCCTGTCCCGGGCGTTGGTGAAGCCGTCTCTGCCCGGCCCTGGATGCAGGAGGAGGACTTTGCAGAAGCATGCGGTCAAACAGGATCATATGGGGGCGGGTCGCTCCACAAAGGTTCCCTCGCGCTCTCGCCGCCTGGGCCCATCCTGGCCCTCCTGGCCATGGGCGTCCGGCCTCCAATCTCGGCTTCGACCCTGGGGTGCAAGAGTCCAGCATCCAACCCACATGGTAGGGATGGGCAATTTTACCAAGGGTACTCTTGCATCACTGCCTCCTCGGTCCATCCTTGGCGACTTTCGTTGGCCGCGCCCCTTTCGAAAAGCTTCGAAATGGGCGTCCAAGGCCCTTGCATCCTTGTCGCGCATCCTTACTATACGGTTTGACTGCTGGACCCCACGCCCTGGCGCGCGGAGCGCGCCAGGATTCTTTTGCGGATGTGTGTTTCGGCGTGCCTCCCCTCGCCCTGACCTTTTCTTCGCCTCACACTGCCTCCCTTCCTCATCATCCGTCAACCCCCATCCTCCCTCCCGCTCCTCCCTCCTCCCTCCCTCGTCCTCCTCCCTCCCCCCTCCTCTCCTCCGTCTCCCTCATCCCTCCATTCGTCCTCTTGCCTCTGGCGCCTTCCCGCCTCGCGGCCCCACCGAGCGCCTCACCGCCCTCGCGCTCGGTGGCTCCCGCGCTGCCTCTTATGTATTGTGAAGGCCTTGCGGCCGACGCCGACCCTGAAGGCGACGACGAAGAGGACGACGAGGAGGAGCAGGAGTTGGAGGCGGAGGACGCGGTGGAGCAGCAGGAGGAGGGAGGAGGAGGAGGAGGAGGAGGAGGAGGAGGAGGTGGCGGACGAGGAGGAGGCGGAGGAGGAGGAGGAGGATGAGGAAGCGGAGGGGGAGGAGGAGCGAGGGGAGGACGGGGGCGGAATGAGCAGTAGGAGGACGAGGATCAATGGGAGTGAGCAGGAGAAGAAGGACGACGCGGAGGAGGGAGGAGGGTGGTCAGGCAGGAGGAGGAGGAGGAGAAGAAGGAGGAGGAGGAGGAGGAGGAGGAGTAGGAGTCAAGTAAGCCAGCTCGAGCGAGTCAAGCATTGCATGTCCATTCCCATCCGCCCTCCCACAACATAAGAAACAGTGCTGACTTAACTGGGGGCCGACATCAGATCGGCAAGGTGGTTTTGGCACAGCTGATGCAGCCGCGATGGCGGTTACCGATCGGAAATTCGTGGCGCGTCGCAAAGGCTGCGCTGGCATTTTAGCGCGAGCCGAGGGTGCCCCAGGAGGCCTCAGGAAGCCTCAGGAGCCCCCAGGAGGCCTCAGGAGGCCCCAGAAGGTTGCAGGAAGCCCCAGCGAACCCCAGCAGGCCCTAGGAGGTCCCATGTTGCCTCAGGAAGCCCTAGGATGTGTCAGGAAGCTCCGGGGAATCCTAGGAAGCCCCAGGAGGCCTCGGGAGGCTCCAGGAGGATCCACGAGGCCCTGGGGAGGCCCCGGGAAGCCCGAGGAATTGGCGAGCTGGAGGCGCCAGGAAGCTTCAGGAGGCCCCAGGATTATCCACGAGGCCGAGGGCTGGCCCCAGGAGGCGGTATCGTGCCCTGGGATGTTCCAGATGGCCCCGGATGGCCCCAGGCGCCCGACGAATTGGCGAACGAAACATGTGCGCTGCGCCTGTGCGGGAGCGCAACTTTCGGAAAACATGCGCGCGGCGCCAAGGCGAGAGCGACATTTGCTCCTGTCGCGCGAGACTGCGCCGCGCCCCATTCTTGCCACGCATTTCGCGACGCCGACGAAAAGAAAGTCCACGTTGACAACAGACAGGTCGACTTCGCATTGTTTTTGGACTGGTAGGATGGCCCCTCCCGCTTGGGGTTGCCCCAGACGTCCGCGCGCGATGTGCGCCGCGTCCAGTTCCTGCCACGCATTTCGCATCGTCGACGACAAGACAGGCCACGCTGAGAGAAAATCAATGAGTTTGTATTGTCTTGTTCTTGTTAGGATGGGAGGGTCTGGATTGACGGCCGCGCGCGATGTGCGATGTGCGTTGGGTCCCATTCCTGCTACGCATTTTGCATCGTCGACGACAAGAAATGCAATGTTGAGAGAAAAGAGCGACGACGTTGTATTGATTTTTTACCGTTCGGATAGGAGGGCCCGGATTGACGGCCGCGCGCGATGTGCGCCGCGTCCCATTCCTGCTACGCATTTCGCATCGCCGACGACAAGAAAGGCCACGTTGAGAGAAGCAACGACGACTTGACATTGTTTTTTATTTTTTGGATGAGAGGGCCCGGATGGAGCCGCTATCGGCCGGCCAGAGGGGGGAGTAATATTATTTTCGGGTAAGCATAGGAGTAGGAGTAGGCGGAGGAGGGGAAGAATGAGGATGAAGTGGAGGAAGATGACGAGGAGGAGGAGGAGGAGGAGGAGGAGCAAGGGGAAGAAGAGGTCGAGGTACGGTTGTGGAGCGCCGGGGAAGAGCACGCGGCGGATTGGGGGGGAGCATGATGAGGATGATGATCAGGAGCATGAGGATGATGAGGAGGGCGATGCGAAGGAGGGGGATGATGATGATGCTGCTGATACTGATACTGATACTGTTACTGATACTGATACTGATACTGATGATGGTGATGGTGATGATGATTATGATGATGATGATGCTGATGATGAGTATGATGATGATGATGATCATGCTGATGATGCTGATGATGCTGATGATGATGATGATGGTGATGATGATGATGATGATGATGATGATGATGATGATGATGATGATGATGATGATGATTATGATGATGATGATGATGATGATGATGATGATGATGATGATGATGATGATGATGATGATGATGGTGAGTATACTTATGATGATTCTGATGATGATGAGGAGGAGGAGGAGGACGACGAGGAGGAGGAGGTGGAGGCGGAGGAGGAGGGCAAGGCTAAGGAGGAGGAGGAGGAAAAGGAGGAGGAGGAGGAGGAGGAGGAAAGGCAAGAGGAGAAGGAGGACGCGGTGGAGCAGGACGGGGAGGAGGAGGAGGAGCATGCGGAGGAGGATGAGGAGGGGGAGTTGGGACAGGAGGAGGTCGAGGAGTCTTGGGGTCCTCCAGGGGCTTCCTGGGGGCTTCTTGGCGGCGTCTTGGAGGCTTCTTGGGGCCTCCTGCGAGCTTCCCGTGGGCGAGGGCTCTGAATGTCCGTTGGGGTATCCCTTCTGGGCACCCTGTTGGAACCGTCTAGGGTGCCTTCTAGCCTGTCTGGGAGGCGTCTTGGACCGTCTTGGGGCCCTTTTTGGCAATCTTGGGAACCTCTTGGAGAAATTTGGACTGTCTTGGGGCGATCTTGGGGCCTCTTGGGCCGTCTTGGAGCGTCGGGAAGTGGAAGAGGCGAGAACGCCAAAATCTTTCAAACATTCAAGGGGAATCAGAAACTCTGCCTCTTGGGGCCTTCTTGGGATCCTGGAGGCTTCTTGGAGCGTCTTGCAGGCCTCATGTGCCGTCTGGGGGCCGTCAAGGCGTCTTGGACAGATCGTTCGGCGATTCGGGGCCCTCTTGGACCGTCTTGGGGGCCTCTTCAGGCACTCTTGGCCCGTCCTGGGCTTTCTTTTAAGACCCAGGCCCCCCCGGGGGGGACCGTGACCCCCGCTGGGGGGGAATCGTATTTGGGTGGCGACCCCCTTTCCGGGACCCCCCTCGCGGGACCTCCCCCCCGACGGGAAATGGATCAAAGGGAAGGGGCTTCCTTCCGACTGAATTGCGACTCTGGTTTTGGCTGGCGCGTTTGGGGAAGAGGGCCCAGGAAAAGGGGGGAAGGCGGCGACGGGCCTGGGGAAGTGGAGGCCGCAGGGAAAAGTTACGACAGAGACGACGACTATCGAATGACGGAGACGACGACTCGCACGCGCAAACCCCCCACACATGCCGACAGGGTCGGCGGATCTTCGTGTGGTCTCCTTCGGCCTCTCCAGGAGGGCGCCGCGGGGGGCACCGCGGGCGCGCGGCGCGGCTCGAGCCGCTCCCCGCGCGCGCGAACGCGCGAGAAAGTGCGCGAACTCGCGCGAAATGGGTTGCAATCGGCCCTGGAGGAACGGAAGGGAAGGAAGAGGAGGAGGAGGAGGAGGATGCAGAGGAGGAGGAGGAGGAGGAGGAGGAGGAGGAAGACACAGAAGAATAAAACAAATAAGAAGAAAAAGAAGAAGAAGAAGAAGAAGAAGAGGAAGAGGAGGAGGAGGAGGAGGAGGAGGAGGAGGAGGAGGAGGAGGAGCGGGAGGGGAGGTGGAGGGGGAGGAGGAGGGGGAGGAGGAGAGAACGGGGGATTGTGGAGTACCTCGCCGTCGCGGGCGCCAACGCGAGGCTTTCACACTGAGTTCGCGCGTGTGTCGTTCAATGCAATGTGTGCTCTGTGGCGGCCTCCTCTCTCCTCCTCCTACTCCTCCTCCTCGTCCTCCTGCTCCTCCTCCTCCTCCTCCTCCTCCTCCTCCTCCCCTCCGTACGGAAAACAATACAGTTTTCGTTTTTGGTGCTCCCCCCCCCCGAAAAAAAAAGAAAAAAACAAAAAAAAAAATCGGGGCGGCTCCGCCGTTTTTTTTTGTTTCTTTTTTTTCGGGGGGGGGGGAAAGGAAAATCCTCTGCTCATCCCTCCTCCTCCTCCTCCCTCGGAGGGCGCTTTCCTCTTCTCCTTCCCCCTCCTCTGACTTCCCCTTTTCCTACTCCTCCTCCTCCTCCTCCTCCTCCTCCTCTCCTCCTCCTCCTCCTCCTCCTCCTCCACTCCTACTCCTCTTCCTCCTCCTCATCCTCCTCCTTCACCCAGAGTCGAGCTGTGTTGCTTTCCCTGCACCTGCCCCCCCCCCCCCCCAAAAAAAAAAGCGGAGCGGCATCCCATGTTTTTGTTTTGTTATTGCTGTTCTCTTGGGTGGAGGGACTCCTCATCCTCCTCCGCGTTGCTCCGCACTCCTCATTGCTCTCTCCCCCGCCTTCCTCCTCCTCCCCCCCCAAAAAAAAGATTTCCCCAATTGGCATTGCATTGGCATTGGGTTGGGATCGCCTTGGCATTGCGCTGGCATTGCGTTGGCACTGATTTGGCATTGTTCTGGCATTGCGCTAACGAGTCCAACTTACTCCCTTCGCAGAAGGATTCCTATTGAAACCCTCCACAAAAAGGGTTCCGATTGAAATCTACCACAAAAAGGATCGCCCCCGCTGGCATTGCAGTGGCATTGGATTGGGATCGCCATGGCATTGGTTTTGCATTGCGTTGGCACTGCGTTGGCATTGCGCTGGCGAGTCCTAATCGGGCGCTCCACAGGAGATTCGTTATAATCCCAGCAAGAAGGAAGCCCAGTGACCCCACACACAGACACACACACACACAAGAGGGGTTACAATTGAAATCCCCCACAGAAGGACTGCATTCGAAGCCCTTCACACAATGATTCCTATTGGACTCCTCCGAACATGGATTCGCAATGACATCATCCCAGAAGGATTCCCATTGAAATACAAAA